GCGAGGGGAGGAGAGAGGGAGCGCACGGCGAGTCACTCTTCTTCCTGCGGGTGTGATGCGCGCGATGGGCTGCGACTGCTGTGGAGGGCCGCATCCTTTTAGGTGTGCGCTTCTCCGCCGTTGTGCCGTGCGCTTGTGCATGTGTTTCCGGAGCGTTGGGCGGCCACCACCATTCTTTTGCGGCTTGTGTGAGTGGGCACGTGCGGATGAGGGTCAGGGCGCATGGAATGAGGGAATGGCTTGAGGAAAGGGGAATTTGATTTGGAGGGTATTTGGACCGGATTCATTTGGCTGCGGTGGCCACATGCACGACGGATGTGTTTCCGCATAATGGGGAGGATGCGACAGGATTTTCCGAAGTGGCCCGTCAATGCAATATGGGCTTTATAGCACTGGGGCACAGTGGTCTTCCTGCAATGGCTGGTGACGGCCTCTAGTCGACCGGTGTACTTATGCTGCTGCTGCTGCTCGAGGAGGCGTAGAAGCGCGATTTGAGGTGAGCGGCGGAGGGGCCACACATCCCGCAGTGATGGTCGTCGTTGGCCCAGCGGGTGCCTCTGAAGGTTTTGTTGGATGCAACGTCCTTATGCCCGTCTCCGGATGGCGACATCCCTGATGCAGCCAACGAACGGGGCTGGGAGCGACTGTGAGACGCAAGCACGTGTGGATGTTTGGAGCGGCCGGCGCACCGCACGCTGAGAGCATGGCGCGGTGAGGGCCGGACCCAGAAAAGGGACACCGCGTGGGACGTCAATCTTCACTGCAGCGACCGCCACCGAATTCGGATTTGCTCGCACGTTCTGCGGTCTTTCTTCCCTCACTTCTGTGCCGAGGACTGTGCCGCGGGATCGAGCAGCGCGATGTTTGGCCGCAGGAACATGGCCCGAACAAATGATTTGTGGGAGGGGATGTGCACTGCGACGAGAAGGAAGAAAATGCTGCGAGACGACCACCACGACAAGGCCGGAGTGAAGTTTTGTTTTGTCCACTTGCGCGAGGGCGGCCCGCCACCTGGTCGGTCAGGAGGATTATTATTTTTGCGTCGTTGCGCTTACTTTTTATTCCGCTGCGTTTTCATGCGGACCTGCGAAGGGAGATTTGCAAGAAATTCCTGCAAGGCGTCCGTGCCGTCGTCGGAAAGGCGGATCCCCCTGAAAAACGCTACTTTATAAATTTGTTTTGGGCGGGGAGTTCCTGTCGATTCACTGCGACTTTGTTTTGCGGATTTGATGCGTGTGTTTCCGAGCGGTTCGGTCTGCGCCCCCGGCCCACTCGGATTTGGTGTGCGCGTCGACGTGAGGGTGCCTGCCAGCCGTTTTATTGCTTCCCCCGCTGTGGCTGCCGCCGCTGCCTTCTTCCCTTCCTGAGGTCCTGCGGCTTCTTGACACGATGTTTTGTAGAAGGCGTTGCCGCTCTTATCGTCCATGGTATTTTGATTCTGGTGTCGTGGTCAGGAGACATTGAACGAGAGGGTTTGCTGCCCTCTTGTTTTATTTGCCCTCTCTGCCTGACGGCCAGTTCTACACAAGCGTGCTCCTCGGCACCCCAGTTGGTGCTGGCGGGTTGCTCACAGTTGTCGCTGGCAATCGCATGCGCCAACTCGTCTCTGCTCCTTTTCAGTGTCGCATTTTTTTATTGATTGACGGACGCCATTCTGTCCGGCGTGCTACCTTGATTGGATTGTGTGGGACTGCTCGCCAACGCCATCGGAGAAAGCAGGCCGACATTTCCGCATATTTAATTCCATCTTGCGCGCACGTATTTTTTTTTTACGTTTTATTGATGTGCACTCAAACAGCGAGGAGTCCGGAACTATGCGTGCGTGGGATTCTTCCTGCCATGTGAGCTGCGGGCATCACCGAGGGGCTGCCACTTTGACTCCGCAGAGTTGTTGTGTCTCTTTGCGGGGTTGGCAGGGAAATTCCATGCAGCCTGCTGCTGCTGGTGTGTCCCCAAATGTTGTCACTCCATGCGAATAATGTGCTTCAGCGAGTGAGGGTGTTGATTGGGTTTGCGTGCACTCTGATTCTGTTTGCTGCTTTGTGCGGGCACGCAACACTTGAGTGGTGGTAAAATGGAGCGGGGCGATGCGTGGCTGCGTCTCGCCCATTGTTCACTGCACGATGGTGTGGTGCACATTGTGGTGTTGACTCTGCGATGTGACTGCGGTCCCCTGTACGGCAATGGTGGTGTGTGGAGGAGAGTGTTGGCCCGCGGCGGGACGGTGGGATCGTGCCTCCTTTTCTCTTTGTTTCTTCCCTTTTGTGAATGTGTGCACCTATTTTTGGTGTCGGTGATGGGGCAAACAGACAGAAAACGTAAATAAAACAAAATGAAAAAGGGCGATGATGTGGCGGTGTTTTTGCCGGTTGCACGCCTCGTGTTGCTGCGGGGGCGGTGGGCCTCGGCTGCTTCACCGACAGGCGTTGCAGTGCGGCTGCATGGCGCACCGACCACCCTGCCGTGCGAGTGCCACGCCCAACGCCATTGGGACTGCGGGAGGAAACAGCCGCGAGTGTCCTTTGGAGCCAGCGGCACCTGCATGCCGCAGTTGGGCGGTGCGAGTGGGATGCTTCACCGCACGGGTGTTGTGATGGCACCTTGCAGCGGCTCTTGTGATGGTTCCGACGCTGCAGCTCGACATGTGGTGGAGAGTAAAGTGTGGCCGCAGTGGACCATGAGCAGCACCAACATGAGGCTGAGTGGTTTCCTTTGGAATTATGCTGGCGGCAGGGCGGCTGTTGGTGAAAGACTACAATGTGACGATGGAGTTGTTTGTTCAGGATCCGGATGATTACGTACAAGACCAGCGGCCTCTTGAAGAAATTCTTAACTTAACTGCGCACCAAGCGCTGGAGGCCATTACTAGGCCTCTTCACGAAGGTGTGCACTCTCTCGGGCAACGTAGGGACTATGAAAGAAAAGCATACGATCACTCCTCTTGCAAGAAGAACACCAAACGGAGTGCTTACGCAGGTACTGACAGAAGCGAGGCGGGAGGCAGAGGAAAGGCTAAGACGAACGCAAGAAATGAAATTTGCCATTTCCACTAATATCGAAGAGGTGCTGTTTAAGGGAAGAGCTCGCGTCAACGAAATGAGCTGAACGACTTTCTTACGAGGGAACTGGACGGCAGGGGCGTTGCGGAAACCAATCGGGATGTCATGCTGGAGGAGTTTTTCAGGGACCCCACGAGGTATATCCGTGGTAAAGGAGCGTTGAACGAAATGCAGGCATCAGGTCGTTATTTGGGCATGAAGCGAGCTGTGAAGGGTGAAGTGATCTTCGACGAGGATACACGCAGGCTTTGCGATAAGGGTGTCAACAATCTACCGGGGTGGTCATTGGCTGCTGCGGAGGTAAAAGCAGCTGTTCATAACTCCACCAAACGTTTCTTGGATGCGGCTGCCGAGGAGGCGAGGAACCCAACGACGACGAGCGCACCGGAGAAACTGGAGGGAGTGTGCAAGTCTGTGCACAATGCGAGGCGGAGCCATGCGGTGGAACTTCCGGACGACGATGAGCGAATTAAAACGGGGACTGGAATGGGGGTGCATGAGGGGAAGCCAGAACAGTCATGGTCGTACAGGAAAGTTGGCAACACCCTCGAAAAGGATGACGCTGTGCAGCAATGTGGTTCAGCACCTCCCGTGTTGATGGTGCTTGCCTCGGAGAAGGGATGGCCGTACTCGTGGCATACGATACAGGATCTTCCTAAGGACGTTTTTGTGAACTGTGAGGTGGAGCGAGTATGGCAGACCGTCAAGGGCGATGTAACCGCGTGGTCCAGCAGTCACCGTGGGACCGACTTTAAGCCAAAGCGGCGTGTGTTGATTGGGACGCCCGGGATCGGGAAGTCGGTGAATGCCGGCTCGTACCTCCTCTACCAGCTGCTGCACTGCGATGCCACGAAACTCCAAGTGGTAGTCCACTGTTTTGGAGAGGAGATGCGTACGTGTCTGACAAGACCAGCAGGACGGTGACAAGATGCGGCGATGAGGACATGTGCATCTCGGAGTTGAGAAGTTTGAGGGGGCATGGGAGGAATGTGTATATTATCTACGATGTGGCAAAGGAGGGAACGCCGCCACCGAGACATTTTGCGCCTACTTCTGGATGGGGCATGATTGTGGTGCCTTCCCCAAACGTAGCCAACTATGATGAGTGGGCGAAGCAACTGCAAGCCGCGCGAATCATCGTGAATTGCCCCGACGAGGTGGATGTGAAGGCGGTGTGCGCCTGGATGACGCGTGATGAGACCAAAGAGAAACAAGCGGAATACTGGAAAGAGGTCAAAAAACACATGTATCTTTTGGGACCGATTCCACGTCACGTCTTTGATGAGGAGGCGTTTAATGGACGCTGTGGAGCGGTGGAGTTTGCATTGCAATCGATCAACGAGGTAACTGTGAAAGAGTGCTTTTCACGGGGAGGTGAGTCGCCATGGTGTTCTGAGGATCCGTCCCACAGGCTTGTGAAAGTTGTTCGGGAAATATACGCAGGCGGTGTGACCCTTTTCAATGCACCGCTGTCTGCTTGCCTCGAGGAACGGACATTGGAACGCCTCCCAAGTGTAGCAGAATAAAATAGCTTTTGAGGCTGATGTTGGCGTCGAAGGACAATATTTTGCCCATATTTTTTGGATGGTTTGCTTTGAAATCGTTCACGGAGAGTGCCTTTGTCAAGGCAATGGCGACGAAGCTCACGGAGTTTGAGCCGCCAACAGGACGTCAAGCAAAGCCCTGCGTCTTGTAGTTGCCCCTGAATTGCATCCCAAGGGAGATGAGGGTTTGCTGCCGAGTGAATATGAAAAAACGATCCGTAAAATAAAGTACGGGGTGCTGCACAAACCGTGGGCCACAAACCTTCCGCTGGTGGACGGCTTTTTCTTTGTGGAGTC